ATAATTAAACAAATCATACTTGCGAAGTATTCTCACAATATCAGGAATAAAACCAGTTTGACAGGACTCCTTCAAAATATGCATGAATAGGCGTTTGAGAAATATAGTATGAGTTAAGTATTTACTGTCCAGTCTACAAAGACGACCGAGAAATAAAAGTTTTCTTATATCAATGTAACCTTCTATGGAGGTCCATCCAATTAAGGAGTTGGCCATATCAGTTCTAGTTCTAATGTTTAACCCTTGAATGGATTTTACGATAAAATTTTGAGCGCGCTCTAATTTGATTAGTTCTGTTCTAGACAGTTGCCATAGTTCACACCCGTACAGGGCAGACGGGAAAACTTTAGCCTTAATCAGCTTTGCAACTGTTAGAGGATTAAGGGTCCTAGGATGAGCACCAGATCGAATAAGAGCCATGGTTCCACTTTTTAGCTTCTTGCATGCAGCCTCAGTTCTGTCCGATGTACACAATTTAAAATTCAAAACAACACCGACGTGCGTAATGTTTTCAACAACTGGTAATGCTTTACCATACAAATTCACATCTTTTACCAAGACTTGTCTTCTTTTTGCCCTTAAATCCTATTTTGTACATTTTGAGAAGTAACCCTTCGTGCCAAACAGTATCAAAAGCTTTCTTGCTATCTAAAAATGAATCAGAGTTATTTTCTAGGTTGTATCTCACGCATTCCTGTAATTAAAGGAAGTGCATAGACTACATAAATGTTTCATATAAGCCGACTGCTGTCTGTTTGGAAACGTTTCTGAATCTAGTAAAGAGAGACAAAATTGACTCGAATATTTTAAAAAAGACGGGTATAAGAGTTATACCCCTATAACTGTTTGGGTCGTCTTTGGGTTTTCCATTGCCCTTGTACAAAGTAAAAATTGTTACTTTTTTCCAGTCTTCAGGTATATGCTCATATTTTACAATGAGGTTGAACAATTTGGTAATGAGGCTTAGTAATCTATCACCTCTATACTTAATGTGTTCATAGACCAGGCTATCATACCCACCAGCTTTGCCATTCTTAAGTTTCTTACATACTACCCGCATGTCGTCCGTGGTAAACATTTCTGACAGAAATATATCTTTCTCTTGATTAGACCGATCAATTTGGTATCATCCGCAAATAATTATATAATTTGATGATTGTTTCGACACATTCTAGTAGATCGTTTATAAAGATTAAGAATAAAATCGGTCCTAGTACGCTTCTTTGAGGTATTCCACTTTTTCACTTCTGCCCAACTAGATGTTTTTCCATGTACCACGACTCTTTAATTGATGACTTCCTTTTAATAACATCTGTTATAATATCTATATCCAATTTCCAAAATGTGATATACGTAGTGTAATGTATTCCTTTTACCTGAACAAATATCATTATTATTTCCATATCCTCCCAGCTTTGTTAATAGTCGATCGTGAGGCACTGTATCAAACGCTTTTTTCGAAATCTAAATACACAATGTTCACTGATTCGTCTACAATTTTAATTATGAAATCCAGGACTTCCAGTAGTTGTGTTGTTGTATAGTTTCCTTTCCTAAATCCAAATTGATGTGTTGACAAAACGTCCCCTATCTCTAAGTGCCTCATTATCCTCTATGATACACTCCAATCACAGGGGCTTGTATAGGACTTATATGATAAAATTAACTTGAAATACATATATATATATAAAGACTTCAAGCTAATTTTATCAAATAAGTCTATACAAGCCCCTGTGCTCCAATACGCTCCTATATGATACACCCCTCTACGCCACACTCCTCTACGCTTGGAGTGTATCGTAGAGGAATGGAATTACAAGTCTGATTTTAATTAGATTAATTGTTTCCCATGCATTTTCCAATCTGTATCTGTATGGATACGCTGACGTAATCAAAACTGGTGTGTTACAGAGATGAGAGAGAGCGCTAATAGTTCTTAGTCGCGCGATTCGAGGGCTGTTTTAAAGTCCTCAACACTACTGCATTGGATTATGGTATCTGGTAGATGGTTCCAGTCTATTACAGTACGTATAAAGAAGGATTCGTATAAAGAAAAATTAGCAGATTATTATATGAAAAAGAAATAATGAAATAGTTGTATTAAAAGTTTTTTTTTACATATTTAGCACGAGTCTTGACTGAGTGATGTCCCCTTAGCACGGGTACGGGAGTAGACAAAACACCCGCGATCCTCGCCCGCGATCACAACAAAGTCAGAATTTCATGTGAAATATGTCGTTTATTTCAACGAAACTTACATAATTATAAACAGTAAGGTATTTTGTTCTATATATCTGAAAATAACATGTAATTTTCTCTCAATATCAAATTATATATGAAAAACCATGATTTTCACGGTTGACTGCGGCGTACAAGTTTTACCCCCTTGAAATAAACATTATCGTCAATTTCTAAATTATTGGATGATAAATTTACATTTTATTAACAGTCACATTTAGAAAATAATGTTTGAAATTATTGTATAATTTTATAAAAAATATAAACGATCGCGTTAATGAGATATTAAATATATCTTTATGCCTGGTACGGGGTTTTGGGACGGGAGCGGGAGCGGGGTACAAGATTTACCTTCCACCAATAGATTTCCTTTTTTTGTGTAAGTCCGGGTCACTTCGTGTATTCTTTTTAATATTTTGTTGGATTATGTTGTATCGGGGACTACTTCCGTGACCGGGTTGAGTAAATCGACACTTGTATGGGGCTAATGGGTATTGGTGTAGAAATTGACAGACTCGTACGTAATGCTCGATTCTACTTTCATTTTGCACAACACCTTTTCATGTCTTCATGCGTTAGAGAGTTCCGTCTGGCGGATGGCGTGAGTGTTGTCATTATCAGCCCCTAACTTGTTTGTTTCTCTTGTGTAGTTGAACCTGTTCTTGTTGGTATACGCATCTTTCCGTAGCATATAGATAGAGTGTATATCGTTTTTCATATATTATCGTAAAATGACAAAATTTGGAGACATGGACGTTTCTGGTAGCCAGCTGTTGTTTGTTTACAAAAACACACAGATAAAGTGTGAGCGTATGATCTTGCATGGGGAGAAGAATTGTAACGGCAATAGGCCTAACGGAAGGATTTATATGAATTACGGTATTCAGAGCAGGCGGGGGTATCCTTCCACCTAACAAACATGATAAAGACCTACTTTTGAATATGCCTTGGCTATAAATGGGAATGGCAAGTCAAGGGTGGAAATTTCAGTGTGATTAGGATGTGCAAGTTATACGGCTCAGTAACAGAAGAAAGAGAAAAGGTAACGTCAAGACCTTGGTTCGAACCCAGGAGTCCCTCCAAACTCTAGATGGACGCTCTTCGAATTGAGCTACCTGGTCGCTGACCCAGTCCAGTTCTGCTTCACAGCAATTTACTGTAGTTTATAGATTGAAGTAAAATAGGTTACGTACTGTGTCTCGGATAAAGACAAAACAAACATTATTCATGGTTTACCCCAAACCAAACTTAGGCCATCAAAAGAGCACTTGAGCACTTCTGATCTAGCATTGCTATCATGAACCATACTGTATATAATAATTATATTTCTCTATTTTTAACAGATACCAGCTGTGACATTTGAGAAGAGAAGCTGGGATCTGCTGTCTTCTGAAGGAGAAAGGAAAATCAAAATACTCAAATTTCTAAAATTACTGAATGAAGTTATCCACTGGATGGAAATGATGCAATACATAAGGTCACTGTGTTTTAACGTACATGTATTTCAGTGAAAGACAACATTTCATGGCTGTGGTTCATTTATACATAACAAATGAGGGAGGAATGGGTTTCTGAGATCACCAACCGTGAGGGGCTTATACTCCTGTTTGTAAACTACACCTTCTTCTCTGTGATTTTTCTAGTGTGTCTCCTGTTCATGTTGTGTTTGGCCAATACTACATCCTCACCTAATGACCTTCTTTTGTCCTTGATGCTTCTGGCAATGAGTTTTGTACTGGTCAACATGGTCATTGCTGATTACGTTGTGTGTACGATATATTCTCACAGGGATCCCCGACCCATCATGTGACCTGTTGTCAGTATGACCTTGGGAGGCAGGTGTCAGTAGTTAGATTAGATATATATATATATATATTTCAATTATAGAAAATTACCCTAGATCTCTAAGTAGGTGTTTAGTGAAAATTTGATAGTATATGTATCAATGTTTCATTTCAAGAAATTTTGAAATACAATCGGGAACCTTTCATTAATAATGTCAAACTCGCGGAATATTAAACAAATCACCCGCCATGTTGATGCAGGTGTGATACACCTGACATCAGGAACAAATATCTCAACAAACCAAATTGAAATTGAATCACCATTAAGTCCCTCATCAAGTTATGTCAAAACTAAACTGGAAAAAGAATTAAGTCCTGACTTTATAAATGCTTTCATCTTGGCACACTGGGATAACATTTTGGGACCACGAATACTTAATGTGTGGCTGGGTACGGATTGTCATCTAACGGAACAGATGCTGAATCAAGTTTGTAGTCGTTCATTGAGTGGAGAGATATGCCGAGACATTCAGGACAGCTTTGTGGACTTCAAATTTCTTGACTTGGCAGAGATGGACATGATCTTGGCAGGATTTGTGTTTATAGCTCGAGGTAATAGCGGCCTTGGTGTTCACTCCTTGTCTGTGCTGATGCCACATTCTGAACTCCGATCATACCTGGAGATCCATGAACTCCTCTCTCGATGTCTAAACGGAATCATCAACAAATTACGGAGGTTTTTACACATGGTAAGGTGTCAAACAAAAGACAATATTTCCAGAGCTATTTTTATTGACATGATTTTCCAAACAGGAGATAGCAGTTTCCTTTCCAGAGATATTTTGTCATGAAATAAATCCATATAACAGTTATCTGGATTTTCTTCCTACAAGCATTAAGATATACTCCACTGTAATGTTTCACTGACAGGTTTCTATTCCATAATGGATATATTTTGACCAGCAGAAAGTAGACTTTAAAAAAATGCTGCTGCATGTATCACACCTATGTTTACACTTCTTTCTCACTTTATGTAAGCTTGTAGAAAAACTTGTTTTCTGCATGAAATTATTATTTGATATTTTCAGTCTGATACGCCGCACCCAGATATCAATGGAGAGTTTGTCAGTAGATCTAGAGACTGCCTGAAGATGCTGACATCTGTGTACGAGTTCTCGCTAGCAGTACCCATCAGTGTAAGTGATCCTTCATCAGACACTACCCACCATCGAAGGCAGTCCTCTATAACACAACATAATCAATGCATTTGTATCATTTGTCAATCTGTCTAATTCAATTCATGCCCACAGGACATATTAGCTAAAGCCATGTCGCATTATCTGTCATCTTTTCACTTTAACAACTTCTTCTGAAGAACCAGAAAGCCTGGTCATGACATTTTGCATGTAGATTCCTGGGATGGAGCCAGACTAAATTTGCAAATAAAAAAATGCAGACTTTGATATTCTTTCAAGGTCAAAGATGTCAAAAACTTCAAATGACCTCTAGCTTATAAAAATTTGATAAGTCTGGAGTCATGATGTTTGGATAGCTAGTAGCTTCCAACAATGGATCCCAGCAAGGTTTGCAAAATAATTATCTCTGCCTACTTTCAAGGTCATGAGTCAAATGTGTTAAATCTTCAAACAACTTCTGAATTTTCAAGAGGACTCTGGTGATGATATTTTGCCTGTAGCATACTTGATAAGTTGTATTGACTTAAATTCAGAATATTATTATTCCACACCTCTGACATTGTACAAACTGGCTAAATATTTCAGTCCCAGTAATGTAGAGGTTCCCTAACAAGTGGTAGTTGGTTATCAAGTTTATCTAGCTTGAGTAATTTTATAAGAGATATAAAAGATTTAGCGAGTATCTTTTTACAATTTGAGAACTTACCATCATATGTTTGGGGACCTTTTTCTCCCATAACATGTGGAAATCCTTGTCTTTCTCTTAGAAATGGGTGATTCCTGTTTCCTATCTGGGTTTTATTGCATTAATCATGATGTGTTTGGACCCCTGTAAATACAAATAATCATTAGGAAATCCTGATGATGACAATTATCTTTCCAGCTATCCGAGACATTTCTGAGTCCCTCTCACCAGCTGGAGAGAGATTTCCTGTGTCGCTGTATTGCAGCTCACCTGCTCACGTTTGGTCACAGCCTAGTGATTGGGGAGAACAGCAACAGAATCAACTTGGTAGGTAGTTTACATTATCTCAGTACAGGGGTCCGAAGGATTTGGTCCATATTTCGTGTGGAGCATCCGTGGGTGAAGGGGAACCAATTTTGTGGTTTTAGCCCCGAGGGGCCTGAGGGGAGGGGCCCAATAAGGGAATTACAGCAATTTCTTCTTTGAAATCCTTCTTCTGAAGGAATATAAGGATTTGGTCCATATTTGGTGTGGAGCATTCTTTGGTATAGAGGAACCAATTTTGTATAAACGGTTGGTCTTGCCTCGGAGGGGCTTGAGGGGCAGGGCCCAATAGGGGAAATATAGCAAATTATTCTTTAAAATCCTTCATCTGTAGGAATGAAAGGATTTGGTCCATATTTCGTGTGGAGCATCCGTGGGTGAAGGGGAACCAATTTTGTGGTTTTAGCCCC